ACTCCCCGTTACAGCACCAACGACCGGAGGTGCCCCCGCCGCTCTCGGCCCGGTGGCCCCGCGCTAAGCCCTTCTCGGGACGGTGGAGCACGAGGAGCCCGCCCTCTCCCCAGCAGCCCTCTCCACACAAGGCACTTGGGCAGCACCGGCCCCGTGGCTCCCTGGGTGGCTCCGGCCCACAGCCCGTTCCTTGTCACCTGCAAGAACCTACAGGAGTCACTCCAAGCAGCAGCCTCCAGCCTCTGCGGCAGGAGCCAGCAGTGAAAAAGCTTCTGCAGAGACCGGCAGCTGCTCATAGAGCCGTGGAGGAGCTGACAAAACTGTGAGCAGCATCTTCTGCAGCTGACCCTTCCTCCAAGACCCTTGTACCATGTCCGGGACGTGGAGGGGACCTACATGTCTTCACACACTGCCCTCCTACCAGTAAGGAGCCTGGGTCTCTGAACGCTGCCAGGTCTGCAGGTGAGACAGGACCAGGGCGGCAGCCCCAGAGGTGCCAAGATGCTCCCAGGCCCCACTGGCACTCTTCACGGCACGGGAGGATCCGCCCACGTGGCGGATCTTGTAGTTCTTCCCATGGTTGTTGTCCCAGTGGGTCTTCTGTCCACACTGGAAGGAGATGCAGAACTCTGTGGCCCTGCGGCCGCCGGCTGGCTTGGGCAGGGTGAGCTCAAAGGAGAAGATGTCTGTGTCGGCCGAGCCGTACGTGCTGTGCATGTACTGGCAGGGCACGTCCCGGAAGCTCTTCCAGCCGTCGAAGGTGATGCGCACGGCCACTTTCTTCTCATAGGCAATGTTCCTGACCTTCACTGTCCCTGACAGAGCACGGTCCTGGATCACACAGCTCTCCAGGCAGACGAGGTTCCTGTGCAGGCTGCTGCGGAAAGCCGTGTAGTCCACTGAGGGCTGTGGGAAGTCCAGCACGTACCTGCACGCTTCTGGGCGTGAGTCCCACAGCCTGGGGCGGAAGGAGGCAAGGTCAGACAGGGCATGCTGCAAGTCACAAAGGTCCTCCTCGATCCTTGAGAAGAAGCGGACGGCCGTCAGCGAGAGCCCCTTCATATCAGCAAACACGACTCGCTTCTTCTTCTGGCCCTTGGAGCTCTTGGTGTTGTCTCGCCGCTCGGGCTCAGGTTCTGCGCTCGGCCTCTGGTTGAGACAGGATCGGAGGGGTTTGCGGCCTCGGTTGCCCCGCAGCTCCTCGTAGGAGTTCAGCAGCTTGCGGATGGGGGGCGAGTGGCTCAGGCAGAGCCGCACGGCCAGGTCCACGGGCATGGCTGGGGGGACGACAGCCCGCCTGCCGCACACCTGGAAAAGCCTAGAGGCGAAGAGGGGGTCAGGCCCCGGCCGCCAGCCCCGGCGAGCCCCCCGGCCCCGCCCGCCCCGGCCCCGCTCACTCGCCGCAGCTCATCCCGTCCCGCGCGCTCCGCTCCGCTCCCGCCGCGCCGGCTCCGCCTCAATGGGGCCGTGGGAGCGCCCGCGCCCGGGACACCCCGCCCCGGCCAATCAGCGCCGAGGGGCCGCCCCGCCCCGGCCAATCAGCGCAGAGGGGCCGCCCCGCCACGCCCCCAGCCACGCCCCCCGGAGCGGGCAAGGAACGGGGAGACCCCCGGGGGCAACGGGGCCGGGAACGGGCCCGGCCCGGGAACGGCACAGGAAGGGCTCCTGGTGCCAGGGAAAACGCGAGTGCTCTTGGAAGACAAATGTTTATGGAACTACCAGCACCGGGAGGAAGCGGAGCACGCTCCTCTCGCGTTGTCTTCAATGGGGGAGGCTCAGAAGGGCTCTGTACATCCCTTTTCAGGTGCCTGTCCAAAGACAGCTATTTCCAGGGTGTCTAACAACAGAGAAAAGCCCAGACCCTGGGCTCATCCTCAGAAGCTTCTTACCCTAGTTGTGTGCACTGAGAAAGAAATTTGCTCACACCTGAGCACTCTGGTGTCCCTGACATTTATATTCAAAATCACCTTCACTGTTCGGCTCACATGTGACTCCTTGACACTAAAGACTGTCACCTAAATCAGATCACCCCTGCCCTGTACTCCCTGCTAATCTCCCCAGAGCTGTCTAGCCATTTATGTTAAGCAGCCCTGATTGTTCCTGCTGACAGCACAGATTTTCATCAGCTCATGACACAACTGACCGACCTATCAGTATTTCTACATGGCTTTTCATCACCACCGTGTCTGAATGTCCCCAGTACAAGGCAAGACACCACTCAGGGCATGACCAAAGTGAGGGTGAACCCAGTGCTCGGCCGGCAAAAACCTGCTGTTCAGCCCCAGCTTGTCAGCAAAACATCTGAAAGTGTCTTCCTGGCAATGAAACCATTTGCCCCACCTTTTTCTGGACCCTGGGAGAGCAGATCCGGCTCAGGCAGGGAAATCACAGCTCACCATCAGTGCCCTCCCTTCGACCTCTTTCACCATCTACCTACTTTGCATTCAGAGCTAATCACTCACCAAACCAAAGCCATCTCACCCGGGGGGGAGCAGGGAACAGGAAACATATTTGAGCCCAAGTTTTACAGCAGGCCCTGTGAAAGATGCTCCCACTGTGCCCAGTCTCTCCCAGTGGCACAGATTAAGATGCAATGCACTGCTGCATCTTCTCTGCCTAAAACTACAAGCTAAAAACCATCACTTTCTCGACACAGCTGTGGACACACCTCCTTCCCCCAGCACAGACAGAACAGAGGTGCAGTGTTAGCAGTTCCAGAGGTGTCCCAGTATTTAGTCAGGGAAGGACACAAAAGCAGGTAGCAGCATTTTCAGGTGTGCCACAGCTGACTCTCACTTGGAGCCTGAGTGATCTGAGCCTACCAGCCACTCTCCTGCCCAGCCTGTGAGGACACTGCTGTGTGCCACTTCCAGGCTCCAGAGAGGAGCTGCACCAAAGGCACTCTGGATACCACCAGGTCAGCTGAGGTTCAGCTGCCAGAGGAGGACAGTGCCACTCATGCTTGCAGTGCAGCAGCCACGTGAGATGCAGCGTGGAGGGAAGCACGGGCTGTCAGGACTAGTGTTCAGTCAAACTGAATAGGGCCAAGGAGAAAGCTGCCAGACGTGCCACCCAGACAGTGCTCAGGCAGATCCCTGGAGCACGCTCCCGCAGCAGCAGATTAACCAGGACTTTGGCTGGGAGCCCCAGTCACCTCTGTGAAGCTGTCTGGCTGTAAATACGGGCAGGGCACAACCCACAGCCCTTCCTGGGGGGCTGTGCTGGGGAATGTGCTACTGATTCCTAAGGATTAAACCCAGCCTCCTCTTAACGTCTATACTTGAAAGAATCTTCTTTACCTAAATGGATTAATTAGGAAGACTATAAACCACACACATGCAAAGCCACTCACACTACAAGATGCCCTATGTCACCCCCTGCCTGGCAGAAGAAGGTGCTCCCCTCACACAGGCCATGCAGGGAGGACCCTGCCCTGGCCAACACGAGCCCCTGTCTGAGGTACCACAGGACACCCTGGTTTCCCCTGGAGGGGACCCACAGGGAGCCCCGGGCTGTGTGTGTGTGGGGAGGGGTCGTGGCAGCTGCTCCCCCCGCCCCGCACTCACCGCTGCCCCTCAGATGAGCTGCACGGCCCCCGAGGCCACCAGCGGGGCCACAGTCCTGTAGCGGATCAGGTGCTGCGAGCCCTCCTCCAGGTCAATGGCGTATTCCCTGTGGGCACAGGCGGCACCTGAGCTGCAGCCCAGTCCACCGTGACACCCACCCGCGCGGGGACGAGCCCACCCACCTCTGCTCATCCGTCTCTGGCTCCACCAGGATGTTCTCCTGCCGCTCCAGCACCCTCAGGAACACAAAGGAGTCCAGGTTGGGCTTCGGAACTGCACACAATGGATTCAGAGCACAAGCTCAGCCCCTGCTGATGCTCCTCCGCGGGACACCAAGGGGTCTGAGGGACAGCAAAGGGAACTCCAGACAGCTCTGAGCACACGTGTGCCCTGCCTCAGGGCAAGGCAGCACTGCAGAGCAGGACACAGCAGGACCCTTTGGCAGCAGCACAGAGCTGTGTTACAGCACTGTCAGCACATCCTTTGTTTCTCCTGAGCAGCAGCTGGAGGACAAGCCCTCACATTCTGGGGCTTGTCCCACACTTTGCCCTGGCGCTACAATTTTCAGCTCAACCTGGATGGACTCACCTGATTTTAGGAGAGACACTTTCTGCAGGTTGGGTGGCATGTGTTTTAGGGCCACGTTTTTCAGGTAAGCCTCTGTGTTTGCCATGTACCTGAAACAAACCATTGGAGCACTGACTGGTTTAATGGAACACAAATCTGCAGGGAGAGTGCTGTCGTTGCCAGCAAGCAACAGCTCCTGGTCCCACATGCACAGCCAGAGACAGGCCCCTTGGCTTACCCTGGCAACTAACTGACTCGGGTTTATTTTGTTTCAGCTGTCTTTTCTTGCCCGTAAGGAAAACCTCCCGGTAAAACACACTGATCCTTACTTCAGACCTGTCTTAAGGCTCTCAGTCTCAAGAACTGTTCAGCATAACACACAGGTGAGTTCTGTAATCTACAAAAAGGGAGGAAGATGCATCGAAAACCTACTCACTCTTTAGCAAAAGCAAACTCCTCTGGTGATAGGATGGAGGGCTCCCCTTCAGCTCGAGACTTCTCCTTCTCCAGGATGTGGGGGAAAAACTTCTCTATCTGATATTGGAACAAAATCCAAAAGAATGATACAGTGACCAACACTGCTGTGATCTCCCTTCACCACCACAGGGGGGTGTGCCCAGAGAATCCATTCCTTAGGGCTGCACTTCAGAGAACAAGGAGAGAACACGCTTTAACTAAGTGTCTTGCTGAAGGAAGAGGCTTTGTATGGGTAAGAATCCCTCCTTCTGAGCAGTGCCTCTTTCTCCCCCCTGGGCTGCAGAGCCAGTGTTACCTTCACCAGCCGACACCTCAAGTAGCTGCTGAGCACGAAGCGGATCCTCTCGATCTCCATGCGGTGCACGCTCACCTTCAGGTCTCCTCTCTTGGCCCGCTTCAGGTTTGCTTCCTGCAGGGAAAAGCCAAGAGACATCGAGTGGCTGAAACAGCAAGAAACACAGAGCAAGACAGGTTTTGCACACAGAACCCATGGAATCAGACCGTGGCTGCCCTTGGTGACCCAAAGCACAGTGTTCTTGCACCCCTCAGCCCCTCCCCAGGGCAAGCTCAGAGAGGGTGCTCAGAGAGCCTTTGTCCCAGAGACACCCAGGCGTGTGTCTGCCAGTCCAGCCAACCGAGGGCCCCTGTGCCGCCCCCCGGCCCTGCAGAACCCACCATGTGGTCCAGCTGCTCCACGACACACTCGACGATCTCGGGTCTGCTCTCCAGCAGCTCCGGAGCGAACTTCTCGTTGAGCCAGGCCTGAAAGAAGGCAGGCTGCCAGCGTGAGCGAGGAGCGCCCCTGCCACACGCCGCGCCCCCGGCAGGGCACAAACGCGGCCGCGGCGAGCCCGGGGGCCCGCACACGGCCCGGTCCCGCAGCGCCCCCCGCTCCCCGGCGCACCGCACCTGCTCCAGGCTGCGGATCAGCTGTGCCGGGGTGAGCACCAGCTCCTCGCTGCTGCTGCCGCCGTCCGAGTCCGCGCCCGCCTCGTCCCCGCCGGGAGCCGCCATCGCCGCCGCCATCGCCGCCCTCACGGCGGCCCCGCCCGCCGCCGGCTGCGCACGCGCGGCAGCCTCTTCAGCCAATCAGGAGGCAGGTCCGGCGCGCGGCTCTCGGTCCGAGCGGACGCCTCCCCCCCTCCCAGCCCCCCCGGCCCCCGCTGCCCGTGTCCCCCCGTTCCGGGTGCGAACCGTTCCGGGCAGGAGCGATCGCCACCCTCGAAGCCGCGGGAGCTCCCCGGGAACAGCCCCGGCCCCGATCCCGGCCCTGCGCTCACCCCCCGGCACCGCCACACAGACCCGCACTCGGTTTAAGAAAAGGTTTACTGATCAGTACTTCTGCCAATATTGCAACAGCTGTGAAAGGCAAACACTGTTACACAGTTTAGAAAAAACAAGTTTTTATACAATGAAAATATTAAACAAATCTCAAACAAAACCCCACAGTGGCTGAGGAATGAGCCTGGAGTTCCAGATCCAGTATTAGCACCTGCAGCACCATCAAATCAGCCCCTGGGCCCCTGCTTAGTTGCCTCTTCCGAACTCCTGAGTTCCTTCTACAACTGGACACTGACACCCGGCACCTAAACCCAGGCTTTCATCAGGGAAAAGGATGGAAGGGAAAGGATTAAGCCAGCTGGGACTGTGGGCCCTCCATGGTGCTGAGCAATGTCCATGCACGAGGCTGCCAAGGAATGCACAGCTCTGCTCCTGCAGCACCAGCACTGGGAGACCACCTCACACGACACCTAACAGCTCGTCAAAGCCATGTTTTCCTATAATTTATAGATAATAAACCCATAAAGAAACAGTTGTACACTTCACATATTAATCAGAGTAGGGTGGGAGTTGTTATGTTTATTGGCTCAGCATCCACTTTACTGTGCTCACTGCTCACAGCCCAACAGGCCCAAAGACCACCAGGGTTCAGGTCTGGCCACTCCTCCCCTTCCAGGGACAACCAACACATCCACACAAGGAGCACTTTGCCCTCTGGTTTCCTACAAGAGGCATTGCCTTGGGTCCCTCCTGGCTGGGCTGAGGGCCCCCTTTCTTTCAGGGGAGAAAGCAGCTCTACCACTTCTGCTTTTTCTTCAGAAGAAAAGAAAAAATAAATCCCAAAGCCGAAACAAAACTAAAAAGTGATTTCATTGCTTCAAAATCTCCTGTAAAGTGGATGCTGACCAGCTGAGTCACCCCCTGGGGAGCAGTTTGAGGAAGTTAGTCCTTGTAGTAGATGGCACTGTGGATCTGGCAGCAGAGAAAGGAATGATGCTCTAAAGTAGGAGGTAGGGGAACCTTGGTACAGCGAGTCCACCGGTGAGCTGTCGTCTGCAAGAGAAGTTTCACAGGATTAGAAACTCCTCCTAAGTCAAACCCTTCCACAGCTGCAGTTTGTCATCTCGGGAGGAGAGGCAGCAGCAGCAGCCTGAGCAGAACTCAGCACTCTGGATTTCATTTGTCCAACAGGAAATAAAGACTTTTATCCTGTTTCTTTTTGCATAACAGGCATAAATATTTCCTCCCTCTTTCCTGCACACACTGCCAACACCCCAGACTTGACACCCCCATCCCAGGACCTGCAGAGCACCTAAGACAGGACAGACAGTTCCAATTTGAGCTTTCCAAGGCCAGGGATAGTAATTCTGATGTTCTGTATCTCCTCTGAGCACAGAGAAGAGGCTGGGATTGATCTGGGATCAAGGTAACAGGTACCTGAGACTCCACAGTTTTATCTTCCGCTGGTCAAGCCTCTGTCTTCATAAATGGTAATTTCAATCTGCACAGAAAAGCTGTTAGGGAAACACATCATAAAGAGATTATGAAAACATAACCAAAAAAAGGCAAGAAAACACCAGGATGATGGGACTTTTGACCTCTGCTTCATTCCTGCTGTTTTAAGGGAGGTCTCAGAGCTCCAAAACAAAGGGAACAGCCCATGTGAGATGCCCTGTCAGGTTGGGTCCCACCACATTTTCAGTGCCTTTCCATCTGCCAAATCTTAATGTACCAAAACCTGAGCAGAGACCAGGACACAACAGAGAGCACCAAAACTAATCCCAGGGTCTGCTGTGTCACAGACCAGGCCTGAACAGAGGTGCCACACTGAGACAAACAGGGAGCACGAGCCAGGAGACAATCTCAGAAGCCACAAAAGGATACAACTCTGAGTCCTCTTTCAATGGGGTCTGTCAGCAGGAGGCCCTGAGGAGCGTAGATCTTCTCGTTCTGTTCCTGGATGAACTTGGCAATTTTCTTTAGAACCTGCCAACAGAACAGCACAGGAGTCACAGCTCCTTCCTCAGCCTTCCCTAGTTACGAGTCAGAGCCAGCAGTGTCACAGGTACGGGGAACCAGCACACACCTGGTGTGACAGCAAATCCCTGCAGCACCCAGGGGACTCAGGGACACCCCAAGGGGACCCAAACTGAGGTACATCCACAAGGAATGTGTCCCACAGCACTGCAGGTCACAGGAAAACCCCCCAGACCCAGGTCCTTGCCCGCAGGGGAGGCAAACACACACCTTCTCATAGTGTGTCTCCATGCACAGGAAGATGGTGTAGGCAGTCAGGCAGGCCAGACACCCCTCCAGGTAAGACTGGCCCCCAAGTTTTTCAGCTTCTGCATAGAGGTTGTTCAGCGTCCGGACCGTCTCCTCAAACTGCTGCCTGTCAATCTGCAGGAGAAGCAAGAGGGGCTGTCACAGCCTCCCACACCCTCAGACACCCCCCTCCTCTCCTGGAAGAGCTGCACTGTGCTCAGAGCCCCGGCCTGAAGGACACCCAGTCTCAGGGTGCAGCTCCTGTGCTCGGGCTGGGCCTGGATTGGAGCACAACGTGCACACAGAGCCCCTCAGAGCAGCACTCAACACCCCTCAGCCACCGAGAGAGAACCTGAGCCCACAGCCAGCAGAGACAAGCAGGTGGGGAGTGCCTGGGCACTCCTGCTGCCCACGGAGCTGGCCAAACACCCCCCAAAAAAACACAACACCCCCAACAATCACAGTAAAGGAACGAGGGCGAGGAAAAAGTGGAGCAACAGAAAGAGAGCAGCTTTTTGTTTTGCTGTCAGCTGAGGATCTCACACCTGGCAGCGTCGAGCAAAGCGAGAGCACTTGAGGCAGCACTTGAGCGGCCTCGGAGCGCGCTCGGCAGGACGGGCAGGATTCCACGGGAGGGGACGGTGCCAACGCCCGGGGGCGCAGAGCCGGCTCTGTTCGCGCAGACACAGCGGGCACACTCTGCTCCCCTGCTGCCAACCCGCCGCCTTCCCGGGACCGAGACACGGGACCGGGACTGGGCCCGGCACACGGGGGCGCGACCCCCCCCGCCCCTGCCCCCCCACGGCCTCCGCTGCGGGTTCGCGCAGGAGCCGCTGCCCCGCGCGCGGCGATCCCGCGGGACCGGCCCCTGCCCGGCCGGGGCGCCCGCCCGCCCGTCCGGCCCGG